TAGGTGTTACAGAGAACCTATAACGGTATCACTCTGTCAAATTTAGCAATATAGGCAGAACGTATACATATAGTGAGAATGATAAAAAAAAAACTTTTGCCAAACAAAATCGTTAGGAAAAAAACAAACGATCTTCAGATGTTTGCATACAATTATCCTTTGTATCTCGTTATTAAAATAAATGAGCCATGTTCGCATCATGGTCTCTTAGCAATCTCCCCATTAACTGCTCGTGCTACGAGCCCAATAAAGAAAAATGTGATAACAACAACAAACAGTTTTATACTATAAAGTAGCAAACCAAGCAGCAAGTTTGCCGAGTGAAAGTCCTACGTGAGCAACTGTACCTCGTTCTACTCAGAAAAAATCCAGCCGGTTTTACATGATACAACTACTTCTGCATGATTCATCATGTTTGTTGCACTACTGTACAGCTCGATTACCCTGCCCTAGTTTCGTTATGGAATATAACATGGCTCTTTCTTGCACCCACCTGAACCAGATCTGTGCTTCTCTGACTTTCTTCTGCTAGGCATGCTGCTGGTCCGATGCTAAGATGTGTGCAAACATCAGTCACATCATCTGCAACAATTAAAAAAGTATTAAGGCATCATCATCCAGGATAAGTGTGGCACTAATAGCTCGTCACCGCACACTTGTCAACGTAGTACTATGACGACGTTGTCCAGCTCATAATGTAAATTTGCATTTACATTTATCACATGTGGCACGGTTTTAAGAAAAAAGCATACCGACTACAGATATTCTGATTCATACAGCATATGGCACATAATGGAATGTAAGGACATTGCTGTGCTTCTGCAGTGCACAAACAAGCAACATCATTAGCCAATTTTGTTTCATTGAAAAGACTCGGTGCTGCCCAGTGTAGGATCCACTGCATCCTAGACCAAGACCCATATACAGATATGCCAAGTACGTCTCTGGTTATACAGTAATCCAACTAAAACTTGTTGGTCCAGCATGCCATGCCATAATTTATCGTTAGAGACAGTTATATAGTCCCATTATTTACTGTAAGAAATAACTTGTGGGAGACCAGTTTTCAGAGATCGGACCAACGGAAAACACCTACCTCATCAGGGAAACAAGAAAGCACATTACTCTAAGACGATGGGTGCGGTCACACTAAATGACTATGTGATGGTTTTTTCACTAATTTTTCCCCAATTACTCCATTTTATGTATTTATGTATGTGCGACTGTTATCAGCAACAATGCTTACATGCTAAATAAGTTGGCATTATAATGTTTCTGGTACCTGATAATTTACCTCACTTTGCGCTCACCTTACAATTCTTCTTAGGTCCAATAGCAACCGGCGCAAATATTAGGGCTATTCGTACACTGTTAGCGCACATGGTTTTGATTTCTACAGAGCAATGGTCCGGTATTTGTCTGAGATTGACATTGAGCATGTGAAAAGCTGACAATCTAAATTTTAAAATGCGTTGCCCTGCAGACCATAAATTCAGAGCATAGATTGGCTGTATCATTACAGTCCCCCCAACACAATTCACAAGCATTTTTGTTTTACTAATACTTAATAGTATATTAGTAATTATAAATTAATACTAATACTAATAGTACTAGTACTAGTAGTAGTAGTAACATTAATAACTAATACTAATAGTAATACTGTCTATAGTAATACTAAAACATTTAACATCTTTACCGTCTGCGGCGATTTCTGACCGACGTAGTTAGCTAGGATTTTAGCCAGATCTAAATTAGTAAATGAGCTAAATACAGTATACCTTTATATAAGTTATTGCTTAGTTATTTAGAATTTTAATCAGGATACATTACCTACATTTTCAAGTTTCAGAAAGAGAAGCAATCGAATAACACATGACTGTACTACTACTACTAGTACTACTAGTACTAGTACTACACTAGTACTATTACTAGTACTACTAGTCTGCCTACCGTGTAGTGTACGCTAACACCTGGCCTCAAATACGCCATGTACTAACCTGCAATATTAATAGTAATAGTTTGGATTTGATTACCTTGGCGGAGGTGTGCGACAGCGATAATATCCACACATGAATTAAACTTCGCAAACAACCTCACTACATCATCACTGCGGTGTTTATGCAGGAATCCACTATGCTCCCGTCCCAATATAATCCTCCGTCTCTACTGCTGCCAGATTTAGATTGGTTACATGGCTTTACATTATATAACTAATATAAACCAAGTAACAGTCAGTGAACCCATCTATGAGCTTCCCGGAAACTATTTCGTACACGGGATAGATGTGATATTCCCAGGGTGCATTGCTAAGACGTCTGTAGACGCCACGGTAGACTGGTACTCGCTTCCACCTCAATTACTCGATGGGTAATCCTCGCTCCTAACCCTAAGCCGAGAGGTGGGACCGGGTACCAGTCTAACGCCACGGTATACCAATCTTTAAAACACACTATGGAACGCCATGTTATTGTTATGCGCGACATCTATCATCTGTTAAGATAACCAATATTCATCAATTACATGTACGACGATGCTAGCGTCATTATCTCACCGATGCTAGGTTTCCACTGTCAGTGAATAGAAGCAATGATAACACATTTAAATTTCTCTGCTCATGATAAAGAAATATTGGCAGTCACTTCGTGACACCATGAGCTAAAGTTAGTGCCTCTGATTATGACATTTTGAATGATTTTTATTACGTATGAAGGAAACAGATCATGAATATAAACAAACACATTTATACACACATGGTTTATAAGTGAGTATATTTACTAATAACCTTTGTTTTATTCAATATTTCACCGCACAATTGGATACATATACCAAATACACATAACGAATACTTTGAAACATACTATCATATCACATAATATATACATCAACTTTTTTCTGAAGATGTCACGTGTTGTTTCTATTATTAACACTGTCATTTAAAGCTTGATTAGGTGGCTTGTTCGCACAACCTGGACAGGAATGGAGAGTCTCGTGTATAAACAGATCACAGTCTAGACAGAAGAACTTCTGGCACTTTTGGCACTGGTAAAGCTAAAATTGGAAAACACACTCAAGTTATAATTTATGCACACGTGCAATGGCTAAGATAATAGAAACAGTGCTGTCTCAATAATACTAGTATTTTTTACTGAATATACCTAATGACTTTTGATTTTGAAAACGTTTAAATAATGTCGATGATCATTTGCTTACAACACTGGGGATGTTACCACATGCACATCCACTGTGATTGAAGAAGAATTTCAATATCTTATATTTCATTATTAGACCCAGATCGGGGAAATCAGCACCTATAATAAAAATGTGCCTACCAGCTGCTCTGTCAATCTGACTTGACATGCATAGCAATGAGAGACCTCTGCTGAAATATTGGAAAGTTTCAGCTCCACAGATGCATCAAGTGGGAAGAGGTGATGGTAGGATCGTGCCAGATGTGGGGCTGATACTAGAGTTAAACCTGTTAACATAGAAGCACTAGGTTCATTAAGCTGTTATTACTAGCTTACTAGGTGCTCATTTACTCCACAATTTGTACTAGAAAGGCAACTGAGAAAGATGATATTATATTACAATACAATGTATTTTTTTAAATTGCCTACCACAAGACTTGCATTCCACTGGTAATTCACAATATTTTCCCTTGCATTGTGGACAAAAGTACCCTTTGCTGCCAAACCCTTGTTCTTCGTTGCCATCTAAGTGGCTGTAACAAACGAAGATCATATAAGGGGATTATTTGGGTATTTTACATTGTATAGATTCCCATGAAGTAGTATAACTAGTTTAGGTTAGGTTAGCCATAAGAGAAATCCAATAATAACTATTATTACATACTACCCCAATTGATGATGAAACAATCATTATTTGAGATTATGGTCCCAGCGCAATTCAACTAATGGATTTCAAATAGCACATGATGAAATGTAAATATGCCTACCACATGCACATTGACGGAGTTTCTCCACTCGCCACATTCGCTGAAAGCTGGTGATAGGGAAAGCCTGATCAACAGAGAAAAATTCCCCTATACTACTTGAATCACACAATCTTAGCAATCTGACAACAACGAAAGTTTCTCTTAGAGACAGATCTCCATTCTATACAGGTGGTTTCACTGTATAACTGCCACTAACTGAAAATGCCAAATGTCCTTTATAGATGGGTGCCCATACTATAGAGATGGTTTCACTGTACAACTGACACTTACAGAATGCCAATTGTCCTTCATACACAGGTTTTCATACTATAAAGGCATCTGCTAACACAGATTTGCCTGTAATTGTGATTACAGGTGGCAGCACCTACCCATCCGGACGAGTGATGATTCTGTGTTTGTCGCTGCTGGTGGTGGGCTCACATGTTGCATTAATATATCCTTGAAGTGGCACTCATCCAATATCACACCATACTTACCTACACACAGAAATGCAAACTGTAAATACCAACATCAATCACACATCATCTAGACATTAAATAATGAGTTGCTTATGATTACCTATTGTAAATTAATCACTTGTTTCCATGCCAAACCTTGGCCAGTTTCTACCCCGAAAGATTTTACAACAATCTTTGTACTCATTTTATTACAAAAAAACAAAACAAAAGTAAGATGTATTACCACGCGTTCCCTTGCAGAGCTTTGCACAAACTCGCACCTCAGCTGCCAACCCTATCACTGATGACCTGATGTTGTAGCTAGCGAGTTCCTGATGGAAACACAAACCAATTTTCCCATCTAAGAAATTTACTAGCCTAATATTCGTACATAATGCCTGCAACACAATAGGAGGAGAAGTTCAATAAAACTATGGTCTCGGTAATTGAGATCTATATTGATATAGATAACTAATGCTTTCATCTGATGAAGAAATGTAACAGACATACCTTTATTGTTTTACTAACATCTCCAGGGTCACAGGTTGTGAGACTTCCCAATATAATCAATATCTCTCTGCTTGTATGTCCTGGCATATATCTGAAAATGTAAACGCAATCCCGTTATAATATAGAAATAGTTTATATACCCATAACTTACCTAGATGTTTTACAGCACAATAACAACAGAAGTAAGATAATGCATGTACTGTCTTAGTCCTGATACCAACAGGGAGCATGCAGCTTGCTGCAAAGCACAGGATATTTGCATGGCTGCCTACACAAACTCGGATACGTTGAGTTTTGCTTATGCTCCCCCACCCCAATTATGCCCTATACTAATTACCAATCACTCAATTTATATGAAATCATCATGATATGAATGTCTATATGATAAGCGATTAGCAATCTATAAACACCTCAGGGTTTTCATACAAATCTCCAGAGAGTTTTGCAGTGATGGTTCGCCGCTGCACGCCATGTCGACAGCCTTGCGGGCGGCCGTGATGTGCCGCTGCGGGTTTCCACCCAGCTCCGTCAGCTTCTCAGCAGACTTGTTACGTGTGACGACGAGCCCCAGCTGACTGATGGGATTCTGGTCGAAATACTCCTCTATGAAACCTTCCAGCAGCTTCGGCAATAACACGCAAAAATTTCAGTCATAGGAATTGTACGCGAGCAAGTACAAGTCAGCTGTTTATGCTTGTCATAATTTTGTTATGCCAAATATGATCAACATATAGCACCCCTATTAAACATTTGTTTGAAACCATATTTAATGATCGAAAGCTTCCAAACACCATGTCCAGGCAAGTATTCAGATAAACTGACATCTCTATTATGTGGTTTAACCTATAACATAACTTACAACAGCCTGATGCAAAAGAGAATGAAAGTGTCAATGACACTGTAGCTCACCAGAAAAAAAAACACAAATGAGTGAGTGAGAAGAAGTCAGTTTTAATTGAGCAACCATCGACGTACATTATAGAAACGAAGAGTATATATGGGAGAACTCCCATTATATACTCTTGATAATTATATGTGTAATTTTTTATGTGAAGATAAATGTTTGAGATGTGAAAGTCTGAGATGTGGGCGAGTGATGGCGTTACACCTAAATGATCGCCATCTAACGTTTTTATAATATTCAGATTTAGGCACTGCCTAAAAGCGGAGCTCCCGATGTGTAACGTGTAAGATTGAGAAGATACGCTTATTCCACGTAGCTGCTATATACCACGTGACAATGGTGTTTCGCTGCCCATAACACAACTTTTGTCAAAGGTTAATTGGTTGCATGGAAGTGTTTACTTCGTATGAGTTTTTCTAGGCGGTAGCACACGGTTGCCATCTGTATATCGCAATAATAATTTATAAACCAAAATGAATCACAATTTGTGACAGTAGATGGCGCTATACCCGCTTTGATGTTTCTTAGCGATGGCATTCGAAATAAATAGGTTATGCTGCATTCCGACATGTTTTGTAAAACTTTACTCTAATATAGACGTTTTATCGGCAGGGTGGAGAGGAAATACCAATTTTTCATTAAAGATATTGTAAATGAAATCTTGTAAAACGAACCAGACGAGTGTGACACCACACACTGTTATCTGCGTGTCTATATAATTGCAAAAACCTACCTAATTTGCACATTTTTTTTTTAAATAAACCCCTGTAATACGTTTTGGGGCCAGCCCTTATTCATTCACATACCAAAAATGAGCAAAATCCGTTGAACCTGAACTGACTAATGGCAATTTCCATTTTTGCCAAAAAATTGCCGTGGCTCGAAAGTACGTCGACTGGCGTGCTCCAAAATAGGACGTTCAAACTTCTCTCATAGCAGTAACAACTATACCCAATTTCAAACATGTGGGTCAAACGGTTCCTGAGTTATCGTTGACCATAGCCAAATGTTGACGGAAGGACGGACGACGACCCATGGCAATAGCTCATCTTGACGATGTCAAGGTGAGCTAACAACGGACGACGACCCATGGCAACAGCTCATCTTGATGATGTCAAGGTGAGCTAAAAATCACCATTGCTGTTCATATGGTTTCATTGTACAGGCTTCATTGAATGCTATCATAAAGGAACATGCTGAATAAGGTAACTATTCATGCATTAGTATCCTTTCAATATACATTTACGTTGATGTAAGCTGTCACTATTTTTTCCCATCAGACTTATATGGTTGTGTAAGTTATCCTACCTTCAGTGTGCAATGCTGACGTGTGGGCCTTAAGTCTTGATCAGTCATGGCAGAGGACAGGTCAATGACTACAAACAGATGTCGCATCTGTGTTCAAATGAAAGGTAGAGCAATCTACATTAATAAGGCATTTATATTTGTTTACTATCAGCATTATCATGACTATCACAGGGATAGAAAGTAAGGCCCACAATGTGCATAGCCTGCAACCATACAGTTACTGGTACAGTGGTTATCTAGCAAAACTTAGTTCAGGGCTTCCTTTAAACATGAAATCCAACTAGAACTTAATATGGGTACATATAAGCAGCAAATTAATTGATAACTTAAGAACTCAGGAGACTCACATCTTGCTACCAAAGGTTATAGGTAAAATGTCACCGTATCTTCCCAGTTTAATCCCACACAGAACCATCTTAAATCTTTTCCGTGCTATTACTATAATTATTATACAGAACATTAGTACTGCAGAGACTGACCATTCCTAGTCGGATGTCGGCTGGTCGTTCCAGCAGACGCCTCCGTTTTGCTCGACTGACGATATCATCAACACTTGCTTGAATGGATCCTGCTTCATCTTCTCGTAATGCTTCCCTAAATCCAGGTAAATGATATGTGAATAACTGTGTGCGCAAAGTACAGCTCGTACCTAAGAGGTAATGATTCACCAACCAGATAGATGTTGCTTGTATGTATATTTTTACAACAAATAAAAGCATTTAGATAGCTAGGAGAGCTAAAACTACAGCTACATAGAAACTCTAGGCAATCGCTTAGGATGGTATGCAGATCAACCCATTTTATACAAACATGGAACAATATTTGGCCTATTAAGCTACTATAGGGTTATATTGTGGATGGCTATTGGATATCCGACATATACTGTGTTATCATCATACCAGGTTTTCTCGTATTCCCCTTCCCATATGTAAGCTCCTGTCTCAGTCTCTCCATCCTCATCCATAGTTCACGTCAGAGAAACAGCACACAAATTCTTAGTAATGGGTTTCTTCTTCCTCAGCCTCGACTTGGAGAAAATTTCCTTGGAGTTATTCACTTTCCTGTGTTAAATACATAGCCAAATGTCAGGTCATCTCTACAAAACTATCCCTGTATTTGCCATTCAGGGGGTTTGATTAGAGGCTGGCACATGGTAAATTCAGCTGCGTACTTAGGCTTGTTTCATGTATGCAGTGCTCACTGTGTTCGGATTCCGCTGCAGAGCCAAGAACTGGCGGGCTAAGTATCTGGGTTGGCAGCTCCAAGAAACGTCAATCAAGAACATCAGTCAAAAGACCGTGCATTGACAGTTGACACGGTCTCACAGTCTAGTTCAAGTGGTTAGGCAATAGCCTATAGCCTCTGTAGCCACAAGTTACCTTAGCGCTCTAACGATGTGATACAATCATGGTCGGGATACAGCATCACTAACATCCATCACACACAGCACATCCATCATATCACAGCCATATAACTTAGTACTATCAGTATCACTATCACTATCAGTATCAGTATCACCAGGAGTAAGATAATCTATATTATCTTACTCCTGGTATCACTAATACTATCAGCCTCAGGAGTCAGGACTCGGGACAAGAGTCAAGAGTTGCTATATAATTTAGCAAACATATCGTTTGCAGGGCTACCGTATCATATCTAACAACATTAATCTAGTAATACAAACATTATCTCGTTAATTAACATATTTCATGTCATTTACTGCACTATATACCTCAGCATAAGAAGATCACAATAGGTATATAATTTGATTCCATACAGCGGGCCAAGGGGGCTGCCATTAGTGGTTACGGAAAAACTCGAATCGTGAGAAAAGAGATCGATAGACGAAACCAAACAAACGGAAGAGCCGCATTATAATTCTGATTAAAGATTTAATAATGAAAGATAGCATCAAATACCCTATTAAAAATTATTAAATTACAAATTACATTTTAATTTTTAGTTATTCAATAAAGACCAACCTCTGAATATCACCTCTGAAGACCACCGCAGATTAGACTGGTTCCTTGTCTCTTCTCTTAGTAGATATAGCCATTAGCCGCTACCTGTAATAAAGGTAAAAAGAAACAGGGAACCCATCTAAGCTTAGATTAGTTCGCGCGATCATCGACAGTTGAAAGGACGTAGATGTCCATAATCAATAATAAGCCCTTCGTCAGGGCAGTGTAAGGGCAGCGTGGCTACGTTAGTAGCCAGTCTATGCTTTGGTTATGTCATTTTTGTGACCGACACTGTCCCAGTGTGTGTTGGTGGAAGTAGGTAGAAGGTAACATTATGATTATGGTGTAAAACATGCTAGACTCCTGATATAATAATAAGGAAACAATGATATAATAATAAGGAAACAATGTCTGCCGTCAAGCCTCAAGGAGATTGATCTTCAGTAGTGTCACTAGTGACAATGTTGTAGGTATAACTATAAGGTAGTAAGTTAGCAAGCGCTATCCGCCGCCTGCATCGGCATCGGCATTGAAACTCACGTCGACACACACGGTCACACCCACACTCCACAGCCACAGGAAACATGGGTGACGCTGTTAAGTTGATGGAGAAGCTGAAGAAGGAGGTGCGAGCGGTCCTTCTCACTTCTAAGAGCGGTCTGACTGTGTATGAACTGGAGAAGGACTATGCGGACATGATGAGCCGCCCTCTCCCCTATCGCGAGTTAGGCTTCGGCAACGTGACCGATCTATGCCGCTCGATGAGTGACGTCGTGTCAATATCGATGATACGTGGTAAGGTCGTGCTGGTAGGCATACCGGACAAGGCAACGGAACATGTCGCAAGACTCGTTCAGGGACAGAAGAACAGTGGCAGGCCGAGGGGCAGGCTGGCAGCGACTAGGCGACCCGATCGTCCAATGTATCGAGCATCTAATGTTCAACAGTTTAACTCTATGCCGAGTAATCGGGTAAGAAGTGGAAAAGAAAACGCGTTGGGTGATTCAGCATTATTATTAGTTCGGGTGCACCTAGTATTTATGCTGTAAGTGGGTTTTGAGTGCTGGTTGTGTCATTCACAACATACACTACTCACTAGCATTTTGCACAATGGATTTTTAGTTTTCTTCTCATTGGTCTTAAAAAACTGGCCATGAACTGTATTAGGACATACTTTATATTGATGAACTATATATGTATCGTAATGCGCGAATTGTTTGAATTATTCTATTTCAATTATACTATAATGCACTGTATTTTAATTTTAATTACGGTTCTATTCTAATGTCAGCTGAAAGCCTGAGTATTGTTTTAGGTGAAGCATGACACAACACTCACAGTTGCGCCTGCGGACCTGCGCGCACGTTTTCACGAGCTATTGGAGAGCAAGCCGGAGGGAATCTACATGGCAAATATCAGCACTGCCTACCAGCGTAAATTTGGTGTGCCGCTGTTGGTGTCAAAGTACGGCTTTGACAGCGTCCTCAACTTGCTGAGGGGAATGCCGGACACTGTCGAGTTAGTGAATCTACCGGAGGGTGGCTACACGGTGTACGGCAGGGGCAGACGCACCAACGCCCTCTTGTCGTGGCGTGACCAGTCGAGCAGTGCTGCAGCATCACGGCCAGTCAGAAGTGGTGCGATTGGCAAGGGGATTGCACAGGTACATGCAAACCTCCATCCGTGCATCCATTATGGATGGTTATACATCTAAATCCATATATATATTTTTTTCACATTTCATATGGGATCATACAAACTTCTTTTTTTTTTGCCATAAGAAGTATGACAGTAATCTTCGGATCTCCTCTAATGCAAGTACAGTAATGAATGTGAGTAATCATTGGCGAATATGTTTGCTAAAATGATATAATACGGGAAGGAGAGTTCAAAACATTAATTAGTAACCTGTACCTGGAGTACGTTGCAGGGCACTGGTTAATGCACAATTATGAGTGCAAGTATATATTGTCAAAGGTATATATATATATATAGACAGTGTTCTCATTAGGAACCGGCCACCGGCCGAATTGACCGTCTACTCTGCTGTTTCGGCCGGTTACAATTGGCTCAACTAGTATGATATATATATACAGCGTGAGAAACTAGCGGTCGCCCAGTCGCCAGTGGCGATTAGAAAATTGACCGGGCGACTGCTTGCTGGTACTAATAAATCAGTTGAGTATATTTGTATGCATGTTATGTGCACAAGAAGCATTGTTTTGTTTTTGAGTAACGATATATAATTACTCTTATAATTACTAAATCGTCATAATTTGGAAACTTTTTGTGAACTCTGAATGTACCAGGAGAAACCAAATTGGAAAAAAAGGACCATACTGTAATCCAAATGTGTCTGTTTACTGCAGCTCAGAATACACCAGATTGCATCTCAGAGCATCTAGGTTTTTAAAAACAAATTTGGGGGGGTACCCCCAAACCCCCCGCCCACACACCGCCACGGCCTGTTGCAAAAGCATTTCGGCCTGTTACTATAAAATATAATGAAAACCCTGCGCACTACATGTCATGTATAATACCCAACTATCGCACTATTCTATGCCGTGAGAGTCTTGGCAGTGACAAGTTAAAGTTAATAGTCGTGTAGGCAGATTACATCATCACAAAGTGTGTTATTATCTACTCTTGATCTAACATGTAGGGGCGGGAATCTGCCGATACAGCAGAGTGACCATTCGTGAATGGCAGACACTTCACACGACTTTCCTTATACCTGTTGCAAAAGCATTTCGGCCTGTTACTATAAAATATAATGAAAACCCTGTATAGATATATATTGTTTATCAATGTAACACTGGAAAAGGAGGTTTTGAATAGAAAAAACTGGTTTAGTTCATTGAAAAATGACATAAAGGTTCATTTTGCACGAGTGAAGCCATAACTTACAAACTGCGTATGGGCAAATTTACGCAAACCCTGAGTTATCGTAATGCAAATTCTCACTCCTCTCTGTAAATCTACCTAATGATCACGCTATCCGTGTAACAAACCATCTAGTCATCTGGCCGTATGTTCGTGTGTTTACAGATAGAGAGTGACACGGCGCGTAACATCACGGTCACCGATCTTCATCGTCACTTCCGGGAGCTTCTCCTCGCTTATCCGGACGGTCTCAGCATGGGGAACATCGGCTTCGCCTACGAGCGTAGGTTCGGTCTGCAGTTGACCTTGTCCAACTATGGCTTCACCAGCTTCAAAAGGATGCTGAAGACCATGCCGGATGTTGTAGACCTGGTGGACCTGCCTGAAGGCGGCTACATGGTGTATGGTATGTCCAGACGTCCTGACACGCTAATCGATGAATGGTTGAATTTGATGTAGAGTCTCAGACTCTGTTTTAGGTATTTTACTGAACCTCATGTGAGTGCACAATTTCAGACACCCTCAACCCATGTTGATTAGTTTTGTGTGTTGAGGTGTAACGTTCTCTAATCCGTAAAGCTTCTCTCTCTGCTCTCGGCGTTCTGCTAATCATGCCCACGCTGTCTCTCTCTCTCTCTCTCTCTCTCTCTCTCTCTCCCCCTCTCTCTTTCTCTCTCTTCCCCTCTCTCTTTCTCTCTCTTGCTCTCTCTCTGTGTCACTCCACCAACTGGTGCAATTACAACACACCGGACTTTAAAATTGCAGCAGCAGCGTCATCGCATGTTTCGCAACCACCTCGGCAACAACCGTCTGGCACTGACACAGTGGAACTGCGCTCTGAAAGCCTGCCATCTTCCTCTGACAGCACGCAGCTCCGTGGGAATAACGTGGCAGATGCTGCACCTACAGGCAGCGGCGGGGCGGTCGGCAAGGAAACTCGGTCGTTTGCAGAGATGGTCGGTGTGGGTCATGAAAGCAACCTTAAGGAAGATATCGCACGGGTAAGGTCACGCACCGTGCCACCCCTCACTTCTTTGTTGTGTTCATTCATAATGTTTCTCGCAACAGCTTTTCTTTGCTTAGCTGCGGGTAGTCGATGTTTTTCGATGTATCTGGGCATGAATTTTTTGTACCCGTTCTTGAAAACCAGTATGGCGTTTCTGATGCACTTTGCATACCTGGATGGGTTCAGTGATTATGTAGTGTTGTCATTGGCCGTATGTAAGTGAAAATTTCAGTAGACAGATGGTGATGATCATCAGGCGGTAATTGTGTGCTGTTCACATTCTTGTCAGTTGAATTTGTTTGTGTGTAGGTGGGTGTCTTTCGTGATCCTGACTGTTCGTTTTCAATGTCTTTCCAGGTGCTGGCCAAACATCCAAATGGTATCTGTGCTGCCGAGTTGCCCATGGAGTTTAAGGTACGAAACCAACATGGTGACTAAGCCTTGCCTAACAACTACATAATTATTTGCACCCAAACTTGAAAATATTAACAAAAGTACAGAGCGAGACGACGCGCAAGTCGGGTGCCGAATGAACGATTAACTGACGAGAGTCTGTTTCTTATGATGACAGAATTTACTTCTATAACTGTATAAATCAATTGACTTCAATAAATTGTTTGCCCAGCTTCCCTACTACGGACTATCGTCGCACGTGTGATCCGAATTTTTTTTGCATTTTACGAGAGTAAGCGTGTTTCCTGCGATCTATAGTTTTATTTTCCCCGGTTTGCAGCGTGTGACAGGGAAAGATCTACCGATGAAGGAGCACGGCTATTACAGCGTCATCGACCTCGTCTCGGCGATGTCCGACACCATCTACAGAACGCGTCTGAACACTCACGGCGACTGGACGTTGTACGACGCTCGCATGCGCCCGAAGATAGAGAAGGGTAGGGAGCATTAGCACAGTAATGGCTCTGTTATCCGGCACCTGTAGGAATCAAATATCATCAGAAATTCCATTAGCCTGATTACTAGAAAGTTACTTCTGGAAATTGTATACACGTTCACGAATGATAACAGTGACCTTCCCCGACCAGAAAGTGGGACTTGTTAGAAGAGTAAGAGTATTGAGAGGCTTGGCAGGGTACCACATGTTTAGGTCTCTCTTAGAAGCACATTGAAAACAGTCTGGAATAATTAAACATTAACAATTGCATTAGGGAACTGTGATAGAACGTATAAGAGTGTGTAACCCTTGAGGCTATAGCAGATAAGACATCTGTATTCACGTTTTTGCACAGAATCAAAGATAACCAGTAGTACTAGCAATCAGTATACTAGGAGTTCATCACCAGAGGGATGGCAAGAGATGGTAAGAGATGTCCTACTAGCTAACCCTCATGGTGTCCTGCTACACAATCTCCCCGGAGTGTACGAGGTCAGTATGGTTTTTATATGGATGTTATTAAATTGCTGGATTATATCCTCAACAACACGTCTATCAAATTACATATTACTCTATCCAACATCGGTACTATACGTAAAACGGTGATGTCGTTGTTATTTTTCTCTAATTATATGGGAAAATTATGGGAGTTTATCAATTTTATACGCAAGGAATGGGAAGAATCGTTTAGATTGTAAGTGATGGAGCAGCGGGTTGTGCCTGGGTTTGCCCATGATGAGACTATCTGCACGGATTCGAAGAGCCTTGCACGTGGTTCCGTCACGGCGCGTGTGTTGCCGATGCTGTGTCGTGTCGTTGAGCTGCAGTGCGGATCGCTGTCATTAAATACCAATGTCTGAGGCATACCCAGTGTTAGCTTCCCATGTGTAATCCGTGCCTGATTATTAGCGCTTGTTATCTTTCGTTATTATTAGACTTTTGACCCATTTTGTACCCAAATATACTTTGTGACTATAAACTAGACTAAATGTGACTTCGTTTAATAGGTGTCTGCACGTGTTAGAAACACAATTTTATTTTTAACTTGGGTTTTGACATGATGCGGTGTGTTTGCTTGTGAGTCATAGCGTCAGCTCTGACCGACTGTAATGTACTCGTTGCCTAGAACATGACTGGCCAGGAGCTCAGCGTAGCTTCACATGGCTTCCAGAGTATGGAAGAGCTGGTGCTCTCTCTCCGCGGAAGCTGTGCGCAGATCAGGATGACGGATGACGGTAAGAATGTGTGTGAGCGGTGCGAGCCACGATGCAGGAGTGTTAGATTGATAAGGCGGGTTTTCTCTGCCAATTTTGTGTTTTTGGTACCAAAGGTCATTGGGAATGGATATTCGGGGATAGGGATCATAGAATAGAGATTTACAGTCACACGGATGATGTTTTGTATTTTCGGCATAGATGTATGCTGACAAATGCATTTATGTTGAGTTCTAACATTGCACTGATATCGGTAGAGGTCGGCGACGACAGAGAGGGCGTGGCTAGTGTACTGATGATGACCAATCACTGCGCAAAATTTAAGGTGACGTGCCGTTGCTAAGAGTTCCGCCGTCAGGCGTAGAACCACGGCTGTCGCCCATGTGAACACGTGAAATCTGAGGCACAGCCACGGAATCGCAGTCGTATCGACTCGAGCGCGTTTTATGTTAGTGGATGCTGTTGAAGCGAAACGTTGTTCATGTGGTAATCAGTGTTTGATAGCGGCTGTGATCTCTTCACGTAGGACACAGCATGGTGTATGGTATCGCTAAGCCTCGACCCACCCGTGATGTTGATCGTGACACCACCACAAACTCTGTAAGTATTACCTACTGCTTTCTATTGCATACACGCATGCTCGCAGAAACGCATGCATGCATGCACTCACACACTAACGCATGCACACAGACATCCATACGTACCCACGCACGCACTCATGCATGCACGCACACATGCGAGACTATGAGAAACAAGTAGAATCGTCTGCCATGAAAATTTTTCACGGTGCGATTTTTTATGCAGTCTCTTTCTTTGCAGAAACTGCCGCTTGCGATTCCACGTGCATTGCCGCACCCTGCGCATCTGACACGAAAGTTGCCCGCAGACTCCGTGGGGCCTGGTAGTAACTACAAGAGCTCGAAGCTGCCCAAAGTTGACGAGTACTTTACAATGTATGTGTCGGTGATGACTCCCAATGGGCAGGTGCACTTCCAGCGTGCATCAATGAAGAAGAAACTTGATGAGCTGATGGATGACCTTGAGTGAGTGTATATAGGCTTCAGTATATATATATTTAAGCCAATATGCATATTTATTATGTCTATATAAGGCATCTCCAATGGTCGAAATTAAGAAACTGTTTGTTTCGTACAGAAAGGTGGCAGTCAGAGTTTTAGGTCTTCCAGGTAAAGTGGTTATCAAGGTGCATAAAAGTCGCAGGCTCATGTATTTTCTCGAAGTTGCGTAGGCAGGAGCCTAGCTCCGTGAAACCTGTCCTATTTTGGACTTGTTTATCGTAACTAATTTGTTTTATGTGATAAAATGAAATCTGCTGGCGTCAACCCGCGATAGGTGTTCACGCGGCTCTTTTATTTAGACGAACGTACACGACCGTTGAGGGGGATGCATACGCGATGCCGGAGATGCTGTTTGCTATCGGCCAGCCCTGTGCTGCCATCTTTCCCGAAGGAGAAGACTGGCATCGAGTTCTTATCCTGGGCATGCCCAGCATCGAATACGTCGAGGTATGTTGTCATGCATGTTTGCCGGTTTCTCCAGCACTACTGCTATTCAATTGTATGTTACCTGTAGTACGTGTTGAAACCTGTTCGTCGTCATTGTCTAACGCGACGGCTGTCATTGTGCATTGCCCATAGTTTATGCCCCGTAAACCGTTCCACCTCGCGTAGAGAGCCGTCGTCTAACGGGGCGGCTGTTCTAGCTTATACGTTGCCCATAGTTTACGCCCTGAAAACCCTTGGCTTAGAGATCCGCCGTCTAATGTGGTGACTGCTGTTGTAAATTGCCTATAGTTTACACCTTGAAAACCCATTCCAACAGTCCAACTCGCGTAGAGATCCGCCATCTAATGTGGTGACTGATGTTGAAAACCTATGTCAAAACCGATTATTTTACCTCACGAAGGTCTTCGTCTAATCCAGTGCTTCTTAAACTGGTGAATGGTTCACCCAAGGATGAATGATTATTTTGTGGTAGATGAAACGTACCAAAAACATAAGGAAATTTAGATGCGGGAGAGTGAAATTTTGTGATAACGACTCGAGTCGTTCACACACTGAAATAGTTCCGAAGAATCACTGGTCTAATTAACCAGTGCGTTGCCGCGCCTCTTGCCGCAGGTGTTGTTCATCGACTACGGCAACGTGTGCCACGTGCTCCGCGACAACTGCAGGATGCTGAGAGCGAGGTTTCTCGGGCCGCCCGCCGCCGCCATGCTCGGTCGCTTTGCCAACATCGTTCCCGTTGGGTCACGAACCTCGTGGACGAACGCCGCCGTGAATTACACGCTGGGGCTCGTCAGTAACGTGGAACTTGTCGGCCGTATTGTTTCCGTCGACGCGGTAATGGCATGTCCATGCGCAGTCCGCGTGTGAATGTGCTAATCATGCGTGTCCTGCACGTGTGACGGCTGATGTGTAAACATGCGTTATGTGCGCGTGAACGTGTCTAAACATGCGTGTATGCATGCGTGAACATGTCTAAACATGCGTGTATGTGCGCGTGAACGTGTGTAAACATGCGTGTATGTGAGCGTGAACGTGTGTAAACATGCGTGTATGTGCGCGTGAACGTGTGTAAACATGTGTGTATGTGCGCGTGAATGTGTCTAAACATGCGTGTATGTGTGCGTGATCGTGTGTAAACATGCTTATATGTGCGCGCTGACGTTGTACTAAACTCGTGTATGTGAGCGGTGGAACGTGTCTAAAATGCGTGTATTGTGGGGGAACGTGTTGTAAACATGCGTGTATGTGTGCGTGAACGTGTCTAATCATGCGTGTCCTGCACGTGTGAACGTGTGTAAACATGCGTGTATGTGCGCGTGAACGTGTCTAAACATGCGTGTATGTGCGCGTGAACATGTCTAAACATGCGTGTATGTGCGCGTGAACGTGTCTAAACATGCGTGTATGTGTGCGTGAACGTGTGTAAACATGCGTGTATGTGTGCGTGAACGTGTGTAAACATGCGTGTATGTGCGCGGCGTGAACGGTGTCTAGAACATGCGTGTATGTGCGCGTGAAGTGTCTACATGCGTGTATGTTGCGTGAACGTGTGTAAAACATTGCGCTGTTATGGTGCGTGTAACATGCTGTCATGTGAGCGTAAAGGTAACTGTGTATCGTGCCGCTGAAGTGTAAACATTCGTGTATGTGCGCGCGTGAACGTGTCTAAACATGCGTTGTATGTGCTGCGTACAGTGGTCTAAGACGGTGTATTCTGAAACGTGTAAATGCGGTGTAGTGCGCCGTGCAACGTGATCTAACATGTGTGTAGGTGCTCGTGCAACATGTCTAAACATGCATGTAGTGGAAAAGGGGCGTGTACGTGTCTAAACATGTGTGTATGTGTGCGTGAACGTGTGTAAACATGCGTGTATGTGCACATGAATGTGTGTAAACATGCGTGTATTGTATAGTTATGTACATGGTGTGAGCTGAGTGTGGCTGAGAGGGTCTATGGTCCGCCGTGGTACTGCCGCGAACGTACCCCTGGTACTATTCAATCAACGGCCCTTGGTCCTGGCCTTGCCAGGGCCTGGTGATCAATATGCCGGACCGACTCTCCTACTCCACTAACGAGTCCTAGCGAGTCGCCTACGGCCGTACTCACCTACTACCCTAACCTAACCATATCAGGATTAGTGCCAGGTACGTCCCGGTATCCGACCAACCCCAGAGTAGCTTCCGGCAGTACCTCTGGCGGGACAGAGCCTATGACCAGAGGGTGTAGCTCTGTCATTGTAATTTAAATTCCTTCTGAATCGAGACATTTTTCCCATCGGATATTTAGCTAGGTCATTAAAGCTGGCCAGTTTTATACCGATTTTTACGCTGATGCGCTCTCAATGTCGAGTTTTAGTATTTGTTGCCAAAGGCATTCTTTGTAGATAGTCACAACAATGTGATTGGCG